TCAAAATTTTAATAAAATTGTGTGTGTAGTCAATGTGTCAGTATTTCTGAACTAATTTTCTCCTCTTACAGATGTTAAAAGCACATAATACCAAACGCCACACAGCACATCACATTAACTCACAGCAGCTAAACTAAGTATCACTAGAAAAGATGGTGTGGAAGACTAGAAATATTAAAAGTAGCTGTTGCTTAAAAACAAAATTAAAAATGTCATAGAAATGCAAAAACTATCAATTAACTTCTTTGTTCTCTAGCAATCATAATTAGCTCAATAGAGATCTCACAACTTCTACCAAAACAGTAAACAGTGAGTTCCCAAGGCTTATTGTATTTAAGAATCTTCCTGAAATAAACTATACATTGAAGTGCTTACCGAAAAGACCCCATTCTGTTGCCTTGTCGATGGTTTCCCCACATTTTGATCTTGTCTGGTAGGCTTCCAGAAATTGTTAATTCACTCTAACAACACCCAGACAGCACAACCTGTTGAATAAACAACATGATGATAAGCCACAAGGCAAAGAACACACATGACATGAGAAAAACACTGCTGGTTAGAAGGGGTATGCGTAACATCTGATCAGGATCCACAGATACACCAGACCACACATAGGCATGAATGAATTCAAGTGTTGCACTTCTCCACGTTCAAATTTGTAAGTGCCAAACGACTCCTGAAATCAAACTGTCAATATGGTGGGCAAACAATTTGATATCTGCTTTGATTAACATAGAGCTTTCCAACATACTGTGCTGTCTGACACTATTCAGGGTGCAGCTAGAAATGTGAGAACGCCACCATCTATAAACAACAACGACCACTGCCGAACAACAGTTTGCAATTAATGTTTAATCCAAACTATTTTTGCCAAAAGCTCTTTACTGTTCAAGGAAATGATCACCACTCTTGGTCTACCATGGAGACTCTGCCCTCAGAAGTATGTAGATAACAGAGGAGGTTTTTTTTGCCAATAAATCATGACAGGCACTCTTCTCCAACACTGTCCTCATCAAGCAGAGTGACGTAAGTAACACTTGCCTCAACAGAAATCTAAAATTTCATCCACTTCCTCCCACCAGCGGAGAAGGTGAGGATTTCCTGGCGATAACCAAAGCCAGGACTTGAAATAGGAAGTACTTCCGTCTTTCCAAAAGAAAAAAGAGGCTGCAGCAGAGCATGGAAAGAACTGAGGGAGATGGCAACCTGATGGCCTCAAACCTGCTCTGGCCAATCCAGCTGCAGTGGTGCAGGAGGGCTGTCATAACCAGACCAAGGCTGGGAAACATGGTGCTTACACACTGTTCCAAAGTGGGATTATTTACCTCCAGTGGTTGAGGGAACAGAGGACAGTGCAGACAGTCACTGCCAGGCCTGGCTGGAGAGCTCTTGTCAAAGAAAGGCACACAAAGTCCTGTTTGTTCTCCCTTCCAAAGGTCAGCACTGCCATAGCAGAGGCAGGTCAGCAGAGCAGGTTATGACAGATCTTCCACCAGGGAGCAATTCCGGATGCTGCTGCTGGCAGTTGTCTGTACCAAGGAGCTGAGGGAGCTGCTGTGCCAAAAGAGAGTCCACACTCTTGCCAGGGTGCACTACCCCCCAGGGAAGGCTCAGGTGGGAGCCAGGACAGCAGGTTCTGGCAGAAACCAAGCATGCAGACACTGAGGAAGGCAACCTGAGGAAGGCAACCAAGCATGCAATCCATCCACCCCAGTGTCACTTCCAAAGAAACAGGTTCATTCCATTGGCCACTCAAGCCTGAGAGTACCAGTCTGCTTACATTTTACATGGCTCTTGATAAATAACCACCCTGGTCCCAAGAATTTCCTCCATCTTTTTCAGAGGAAAAGTTCTCTTACTAAGAGAACCAAGAGCACACTCCCTTCATGATGGGGGCAGGCAAAGGCAGATGGTTGCTGTTGTCAGCCAGTCCTTTCATCCAAAATCTTTTGCAGCCTGCAGACCTCGCATTTCTTGCTCTTCCCTTCTGGATTTCCCTCCCCCATTCCACTTCTCCTTAAGTCAACAACCTTACCAACACTTAAAAAAAAAAAAATAAAATCCCTTGCCAGCTGGGAACTGTTTAGGCATAATATTCAAATTATCAAAAAAAAAAAAAAAAAAAAAAAAAAAAAAAAAAAAAAAAAAAAAAAAACAAAAAAAAAAAACACTGGACAGCTACCAGGCCTGGCACAGACCTACTGAGCCATGCAGCAACCTCCAGGAGCGTGAGGTCATGGTTCAATAACACAGGGAGCAACACTGGCTCCAAGAGCCCCCACTCAGCCTGATTTGCTCCCTGCCTCTGCCTTTGGCAAAGCACTGGGTGTAAGTTGTGCCAGCTTGTGCTTTTCTGGGTCTGCACCACGGATGACCCTCAGAAGAGAGTTATATTTAACCCAGGTCACTCCAGTGATACGCTTTACCACACAACTCCACAAACAAAGGTGACAGCAAACTGCAGGACAGGGACAGAAGGCTCTTAGCCTGGCTTCCACTGACACCAAGATCTCCTGAAGGTACACCCTGCTACAATTGCTCCAAAAAAAGCACACCGTGATGAGACATCGTGAGGATTCACCCTTCTGCCATGGGCAGGTACCTGCCAGCTCCACTCCCACCTCCCAGCTCACAGGTAAATGCTGGGAGACAGGTCAGTGTAAGTGAGGCTGTTTGCCAAAGACACCCCAGGCCAACAGCAAATCATGGCAAAAAGCCACCTGCGTGCTGGGAACTCTGCATCCATTAGTTCTGTCATGCTCTGCCCACAACCAAGTGTTTGAGGAGATGGAAACAGCCCAGTCACTGGCAGAGCCCAGACCAACAGCTCTCTAGGACAATAATGAGCTGTTACAATTACCCTGAACATTCAGGAGGCAAAGCCTCAGCTCCACCAAAAATACAGAAGGCTCAACTAAAGAAGGAGAAGCTCTTTTGTGGTTTTAGTTCCTCCAGTGACTGGTGGTCACACAGCCCTTCCAGGAGAGGCTGGTGGAGCTCCAGATGCTCCCTGGCAATTATTCCCAATGACTTCCTCAGGACCGTGCCCCTGCCCTCCCCAGACAGCCCTGGCAAGGCTCCTGACTCCACTTCCCAATCTGCCCATGCCAGCCTGACAGCAAACTCTTGGAGCTCTTATACCAATTTATATCTTGCTATGGTAAAATAATGGCTTTGATCGTGGGGATTGTGCAGCTGAGCCACACTAAGCAACTGGTCTTCTGGAGGACTAAATAAAGACATCTGTCAAGGGGCCAAGTGGGAAACGCCAGCACAGCCCTCAAGTGTCTCCTCACCAATTTACACCCCACTTCACACCTTTTTTCCAAATATGGGGGAGAGAAGGGTAATTGGTGACAGACTGGGTGCTATTTTCAGAAAAATACTCTGATATTCAGAGCTTCTCTCCAAACAGATTTTTCCAAGACTTGGTATTTATAGAGCATGAGGAAACCAAACACAGAACTACACACAAGAAGAGAAAAAGCAGCTTGCTGTGGAACAACTTTCTGTACTCAGTAAAGTTTTTGAAAGGTTGAAGAAAGGAAAAGGCCTCTGTGAAATCTAAGTACTGCAGGAGGTACAAGAGAAAACTATTCCCCAAAGCTACAGAAACTGCAAGTAGCCAAGAAAGCCAGTTACATCCAATGTTAGTTAGAGATCCCTAATTCAGAAAAAATATCAAAAGCATGTCACTGACATGCGGAAGTGAAGGGAGAGGGAATCATTTTGGCTCTGACAGGTGTCAAACTGGAGGATTTTCATTTTAAAAAAGGGGATGTGCATACTTTTCATCTGTATGATGCTTCTAAAAACATGCATTAGAGACAATTAGGTGAATTCCTAACACACACCCCACCCCATTACTATCCTGACCTTGCTTGTCTCAAATGACTTCACAAGTGTGTTCCCAACCAGTGGATGTTGGGAAAGACTCTCACACTACCAAGACCCTACCAGGATAGGAAAGTGGACTCCACCTTCAGCAGCATTGCCAAAAGTAACACCACACAGCAGCAGCAACACCAGCCTCTTAAGATGCCAATTGTTTTTAAAAACAGAGCACGGTGGTCACAGTCATCACTTCCAGTCGCTCAGCCTCCACCAGAGCCAGACCACATCCTGCTTCCACCTAAGCCTTTACTCACAGCCCAAAATCCCATTTAGCCCATCACTTGGGATTGAATCCACTAACACACAGCTCCCATCAGATCCCTCTGCATCCCAGCACGAATCCAGCCCACTTTGGTCCATCCCTTTTACAACCACAAGCATTCCGAGATGGACACACGTATGGCCTGGTGCAAAAAAGGCCCTAATCTTGACCAGGGCCTCAGAACAACACTGAGATATCCACAAACACACCACAACTGCTGACAATGACACACACATGGCAGGCCCCAACACTACCATGTGGGATACCGTACCCTGATCCAGGGGCTGAGCACCCCAACCCCACAGCCCACATCCCACTAGGGCATGAGGAGCTGATGGAGACACCGAGCCCACAGCACACAGCTGCGGGCCCACACGCCAGGCCCTGCTGCTTCAGCGCCCGCAGCGGGCCGCCCCAGCCTCTCTCTATTCCTGAGCCACGGGACCTCAGAACAGACACCCCCCCCCGCCGCCATCCTCATGGACCCACAGCCTCCCCTCCTCCACCCCGGGCAAGCCCACCCCGGCAGCCCCTCGGGACACTCCTCGCCCCTCTCACCCCACTGGGCGAGATCCCCTTTATCCCAGGCGACCCCCTTTATCTCCCGAGAGACCCTCATCACCTACTCCTCCTCTTCCTCCTCCTGCTCCGCCGCTCCCGCCTCGCACAGGCCCCACGGCCGCCACGGCGAGAACCCGGAACTTCCGGCTCCCTCCTCCCGTCGGGCACCCAGAGGACGCTGGGAATTGTAGTCTCTGTCGCCCCGTTCCTGCCGCCCCTTCTCAGGCGCGTCCTTGCGGCTCACGGACTACAACTCCTATGATCCCCCTTGGAGCGCACCGCCTACAACTCCCATGATGCCCCGCGGCGGGTCGCCGCGATGGCGGGGGTGTCGCCGCGGTCGGGGCCGGGACCGGCGGTAGGGCGGGAGGTCACCGCCCGCCGCCGGCTCCGAGCCCTTTTCCGACCCGCCTAGGCTGTGCCCGGGGGCTGCAGGGCGGCCCCGGGAGGAGCCGCGGAGGTGGGTCCCCGCGCGTTGTCATTAAGAGGGGTCCTGGGCCTGGGTCGTGCCGGGGCTGCAGGAGCGGTGACACCTCAGCGCTGAAGGGAGAAGGGTCGGGCTGGGTCCGTGCCGGGCCGGGAGGCTCCTGGGGTGAGTCTCGCCCGCGGGAAGGTCAGCAGGGTGAGGAGGAAAGGTGAGGACGGGGCCCTGGTCCGCTCCCCGGCACCCTCCAGGGCTGTCACAGGATTTTAGTGGGGTGTCTTGCTCCCCCAGGTGTGGACGGGATCCCAGTAAGCTCCCCGGCGCTCTGCAGGACTGTCACGGGCTCCCCGAGATGTGCAGAGTCCTTAGCTCTTCCCCAGTACTTTGCAGAGCTGTCACGGGGTTTTGTGGGGTAAGGATTTAGCTCCCCAGGGGAGCACAGAGCCTTGGCCAGTTCCCCAACACCCTGTCCCAGGTTTGGGGGTGGGAGCTGCATGAACTCCCCCAGGTAAGGACAGGGCCCTGATCCACCCCGTGGTACTCGTCAGGGCTGTCACAGGACTTTGAGGGGGTGGTGTGGCTCCCCCAGGTGCAGCATTAGTGGGATTGGATTTGGGAGCAGGTGTGCTGGGGCACAGAGCAGAGCCTGGGCTCACTGAGCTCCCCTAGCAGCCGGGTTCAGGGGCACAGGCTCCTAGCCAGCCTGGCCTGCCTCCTGTTGCTTTTGCTTGTGCTCACTTTTGGGCTGGTTTTCCCCCAAGAAGGGGAGGAAGGAGCGGGCTGGAGGCATGGCTTCTGCTGGAGAAGGCACCCAGCTCCTGGAGTGGTGCCATATGTGCTCACAGGGAGTGTCACCGGCCTTGTCCCATGGCAGCCACCTAACCCGGTCCAAGGAGGGTCATAAACCCCTCCCTTTGCAAACACAAAGCCTCTGGGATTTCAGGTGTAGGGACCAGCCCCATCCAGGGCCTTGTCCCTTCCCCCTCACTGCACAGGGAGACTGAGCAGCTTTCACGGGGGAAATTGGGGTCAAGCCTGGATGAAAGGTGCCGTGGCCAGGGGCCTGGAAAGAGCTGGGGCTGCATGAGAGAGGAAATCCTGCTGGATTAGAGCAGCTTTCCTGACATCTCACCAGGGCTCGGTGCTGCATGCTGAGCCAGCGGGATTGGGCCACGGGTGCTGGCCCGGCTCCACTGGAGAACAGAGCATTTCAGGGCCTGCTTTGAAAGTGAGGGGACACAGGGGTGACACTGTGGGTCACATGCAGGTCCTGCCCCAAGGAATGGCTGCAGATGTCCATAAGAAGAAAAGCTGGGAAGTGCCCAATGGGTCCCTGGCGCCAGGAGATGGGCAGCACACAGAGAGGTCCGAGAGCCCCACGCCAGGGCTGGCACAGGGCACGGAGCCAGGTATGGAGCACAGCTCACCAAGGAGGGAAGCAAGGGAGGGAAAGAGCAGCTCCTCATGGGAGCTGGGACCTCCACAGCCCTGTGGGAGGGGCAGATGGGCCCACTCCTCACCAGCAAGACCCGCACCCACAGGGTGCTGCAGGATGGGGAGAGGAGGCAGGTCCCCTCTGCATCCTTCCCCCAGTGTGGGGGACACGAGGACGGATGCTGCATGGCCCGTTGTTCCAGGGGCGGGCCAGGAGGGAGCCATGTTCGTGCACACCCGCTCCTACGAGGACCTGACCAGTCCTGAGGACGGGGTGGCTGCAGCGCAGAGCCCAGAGGAGAGGCGGGGGGAGCCGGCCGAGCAGAGCAGCATGGAGCAGATCAGCAAGGACTTCAGCGAGCTGAGCACACAGCTCACAGGCATGGCCCTCGACCTGGAGGAGGAGATGAGGCCGGGCAAGGAGGGGAAGCTGGAGCCATCCCCGCAGACCACCCGCCGCGACTCGGTGCTGTCGGGGAAGGAGGAGGAGGACGTGACCATGGACGCCTGGCGCTTGCACCGGAAGCACGTCTTTGTGCTGAGCGAGGCGGGCAAGCCCGTGTACTCCCGTTATGGCTCTGAGGAGGCCCTGTCCAGCACCATGGGCGTCATGATGGCCCTGGTGTCCTTCCTGGAGGCTGAGAAAAACGCTATCCGGTCCATCCATGCAGGTACTGCCCTGGGGGGGGATGGGATGGGGGGGTCACAGCCTGCCCATCCGTGCGCTTGCCACCGTGGGTCATGTCATCTGTCCCCGGAGACAGATGGGTGTCTGGGGGGAGAGGCTGCAGCCTGGCTGTAGCCCTGGGCAGCCAGGCTCACAGATCTGCCCCCGGGCCCCCGGGGACTCCCTCCCAAGCAGATGGCTACAAGGTGGTCTTCGTGCGGAGGAGCCCGCTGGTGCTGGTGGCAGTGGCACGCACCCGGCAGTCGGAGCAGGAGATTGCCCACGAGCTGCTCTACATCTACTACCAGATTCTGAGCCTGCTCACCTGGACCCAACTCAACCACATCTTCCAGCAGAAGCAGAACTATGACCTGCGCCGGCTCCTGGCTGGCTCCGAGCGCATCACCGACAACCTGCTGGACCTCATGGCCCACGACCCCAGCTTCCTGATGGGCGCCGTGCGCTGCCTGCCCCTGGCCGCCAGCGTCCGGGACGCTGTCAGCAGCAGCCTGCAGCAGGCCAAGGCCAAGAGCCTGGTCTTCTCCATTCTGCTGTCTGGGAACCAGCTGGTGTCTCTCGTGAGGAAGAAGGATCAGTTCCTTCACCCCATTGACCTCCATCTGCTCTTCAACCTCATCAGCTCTTCTTCCTCTTTCCGGGAGGGTGAAGCCTGGACTCCCATTTGCCTCCCTAAGTTCAACTCCAGCGGTTTCTTCCACGCCCACATCTCCTACCTGGAGCAGGAGATGGACTTGTGCCTGCTGCTGGTCTCCACTGACCGTGAGGACTTCTTCACCGTGTCCGACTGCAAGCGGCGCTTCCAGGAGCGCCTGCGGCGGCGGGGGGTGCAGCACGCTCTGCAGGAGGCCCTGCGCACCCCCTTCTACAGCGTCGCCCAGGTGGGCATCCCTGACCTCCGGCACTTCATCTACAAGTCCAAGAGCTCTGGGCTCTTCACCAGGTGAGGCCACGGGGAAGCCTCACCTGGTGAGGCCATGGCATGTGGCATGGGCCAAGCCCCTTCTTCAGGGGGTTAATGGGGTACTGTGTTCCTGCAGCCCCGAGATTGAGGCTCCCTATGTGCAGGAGGAGGAGAAGGAGAGGCTCTTGGGGCTTTACCAGTACCTGCACAGTCGGGCCCACAACTCTTCACGGCCCCTGAAGAACATCTATTTCACAGGCCCCCGTGAAAACCTCCTGGCATGGGTAAGGCTGTTGGTGGGGTTTGGTGAGCCTGTCTTTTCTGGTCCTGCGTGGTGGGGAAAGGGGGTGGTAACACTACACAGCACCAGCTCTGTGGCCCCCAGGGAGGACCCCAGCCTGTGCATGGTCTTTTTGAAGGTGAGCCTGCCCCTGTGTGAGGGAGGGACAGGCAGGGGTAGCAGTGGGAGCTGGTGAATTCCAGCACCAAGGGCTGTGCCATGCCCTGTCGTGATCTCGGTGCCATGGAGAATACCCACTGTGGGGCAAACTCCAGGGTTTAGTTCTCCCACTGCTGAGCAAACCAGATGCCACCCATTTAGGATACCCCACTGCCACTTTTTGTCCCTGCACTGGAACCCCTCTGCCCATTGCTGGTAGCCCATGGGGGGAAGATGGAGTGCCAGCCTCAAGTGGGGCACAGTCCTGTTCCCAGCATGTGTCCTGTTCCTTCTCCCAGGTAACCAATGCCTTTGAGCTCTACATTTGCTACAGTCCCCTGGGGACCAAGGCCGGCGCCATCAATGCTGTCAACAAGCTCATGAAGTGGATCCGCAAGGAGGAAGACCGACTCTTCATCCTCACACCCCAGACGTACTGATGGGCATCACACAGGGCATGGAGCCAGCTGGGAGAGCCCCCGCTGTGCTGGGGAGCCCATTCCCAGGGATTCCCGGGCTGTGTGTCCAGGGGAGAGGGCATGGTGGGACCCCAGAGCACAGGGAAACCCCACCTGTGGGACTGTCCAACCTGGTTGTTAGAGATGGGTTGCACAGGGAAAGGGAAGGGGATGAACAGGACTTTCTCTCAGCTGCAGGCAGTGCCCCAGCTGGGGGTCTGCTCTTCCTTCACATTCCCCAGCTCCATCCCTTGTTGTGATGGTCCTGGAGTGAGGCTGCTGGTACCCCAGGTTACTAGAGGGGAGCAGAGCCCCAGGGTCCTCTCCCTGTGCCTGCCACTTCCCTTCCTGTGGCTGGGCCAAGGGTGGGGGTCCCCAGGGGAGATGTGGCAGCACTCAGGGGAGCCCTATGTTGCTGTGCCCACAGGTGGCGGGTGACACCGTCCAGGCGAGGGACAGGGCTGGCCTGGGGCACACACTGCTCCTCTCCCTGCCTTGGGGGATCTGGATCCCCCAAGTGCCAGGGAGCCTCTGCAGTCCCGGAGCAGGTTTGTTTGCCCCCTTGGCATCTGTATGAGCCTGGACCCTTCCCACTGTGGCTGTGAAAAGGTTATCAGTCCCTGGGGATGCTGGCAGGCAGGGCGGGTCAGCCTGCCCCAGCTGGGACAGCAGGGTCCTGCTCACCTCACCACAGGGACACAGAGCCTCTCCAGAGAGCCAGAGTGCCGAGGTGTTTGTCAGGGTGTTTGTGGGCTCGTGGTTCTGGCTGTGGGTAATGGATCCTAAAGGGGCAGCTCAAGCACATCTCCTTGGAGATCCCCCCAGTACAGGGCCATGGTACTCCCCAGCCCATGGAGAATTTTCCCCTTGGCACGGGAGCACCTGTCCCCCAAGCCCAGCCCCTCGATCCAGCTCCCTGACCCCCCCAGGCACTGGGGTGGGGCTGAGCACCTGTGAACGGCCCAACTCCACGTTTTGGGGCTGTCTGAATAGTGCTGGAATAGGTGTCAGAGGAGGGGCAGAGCCATCAGCGTGACACCCCGGCACAGAGGGAGCTGGGAAGGATCCGGCAGGGCTAGCACAGGGATCTGCTCCTGTATTTATGGTCCTGCCAGAGTGTAATCGCTTGTCTTTGCTCATAAACATTATCTGGACCCTAAGTTGTCTTGTCACATTCCTGTACGTTCGGTGGAGTGGGAGGATGACCAAACTGGGCAGGAAGTTTGTTCCAAGTTTTGGTACGGTGCAGTCCAGCCCCGGGGATCTGCTGGGAGCCAGGAAAGCTGCCTGGGAGTGGTGCGGGGCTGCCGGGGTTGTGCTGGCAGGAGGCGGCGCTGACTGGATATTGGGAGCGGCAAAATCCCCGGGCTGAGCTGGCCGCGGCCAGCTCATGTCGAAACCCAGCAGAGGCTCAGCCGGAGGAAGGAGCTGTTGGGTAAGGCCGGGAGCCAGCGGAACTGCCGGGCCTTGCACAACACGGGGCGGGAGCCTGGAAGGGCTGGAGCTGGCCCGGCGACAGGCGCAGGGCATTTTCGGCAGGCTCAGCCTCTCCTGGGACCAAAGTCCTCAGCACCCCGCTCACCTGGAGGAAAGGTCCATGTGCAAAGGTGGGGTTCATGGGCCTAGCATTTCATGGCAGCAGGGCACTTGGAGGGCAAATTCATGTATGGATCGGGATGTAAAGAATCTTCCCATATCCCTGTGAACAGCAATCACTCCCAGAGGTGCTGGCACCTCCTGCCACTGCGCGTAGCCAGGGACGAAAGGGACATGAGACACAGAATAGGCACAACAAAAACAACCCTGACAGCTGCCCTGGCAAAGCTGTGGCTCTCCCAGCCCTGCTCTTTTCTCCCTGTTAGGAACAACGATGCTGAGCCTGCCGCAGCCCTCAAGGCTGCCCGGTTGGCCTGGAAGCGAGCAGAGAACGCGGTGCCACCGCGGGAACTGTGAGGAAGCGGCTATTTCGATTCTATATATCAGGGTGTCAGCTATGGCAGCGGGGCTGGGGGCCGCGGCCGAGGGGCCAAGTGGTACCGACATGCAGGACCCCACTCGTACCCGGGCATGCTGCTGGCAGCCACCTCCCAGCCACGGGGATCCCCCGAGGGCCGCCCGGACCTACAGCGAGCAGCCGAGGCAGCGTGCCAGCCCTGCCTGCACCCCTGCTCCGATCAGCGGCCCCGACTCACACCCGTGCACCTCTTGGGCACCGTGCCCAGCCGTGCCTGTCACCCCGGGAGTGCCCAGCCACCCTCCGGGTACCACGATCTCCCCGTTCCCCAGAACACCCCGCTGCCCCCGGGCTGCGTGTGCCGGCGCCGGCCCCCGGGGAGCCCCGGGCGGTGCGGGGGCAGGACCCGCCCACCCCGTTCCGCCCTGTCCCGTCCCGCCTCGCCTGCTCCGTCCCGGCCCCGCTCCGCTCCGCCCTGTCCCGGCACGGCACGGCACCGCACGGCACGGCAGCGCCCAGGTGAGCGCCCTGCCGCCCGGCACCGCTCGGATCGGACCGGACCGGACGGATGGGGCGGGGGCAGCCGGAGCCAGTGGAGATCCCGGACCTGGTGAGCGGCGGCAGGGCTGGGGTTGGAGGCCGGGGGTAGGTCGGGGTCCCAGTCCCGGGAGGCTGGCGGGGGCCTTGTAGTAGCCCCGCATGGATCTTCAGTCCCCGTTGCTGTCCCAGGGGCTGGCGGAGTCCCTGTCCCAGTCCCCGGAATGGGTCATTGCAGGGCAGAGATGCCCCAGGGTGACAGGCAGCGTCTGTAGGTGGCAGAAGGCAGGATTTGTCCCTCTGCCACAGGCAGCTTGGCATCACCTCCTACTCATGGTATTTCGGAAGAGGTTTGGTGTGACTGATCCTCACTCGGCACTACCCATCATCATCTGGCCCTTGGGAACCCTGGCAGCCCCAACTGACACCCGGCTGTGGCTGTGCCTGGGTCCTCACCTAAAGTAAGAGGTTAAAACCCTCCTTTTTTTATTTTGGCAGATGCAATGGTGGCCCATCCTCCATATGTTGTGAGCCTGCTGGATGCTGAGCACCATCGATAACCCTACACCAGTGGCACTGCACAGCATGGGCCTGTTGTGCTGTGTGTGCCTCTGGCTGCTGCTCGCCCTGGCCCTGCTGGGTGCCGGTGCCTGGCAGTGTCCCCGCATCCCTTACAGCTCCACCAGGAACTTCTCCATCCCCTACACACTGCCCAGCCTCGATGCTGGCAGCCCCATCCAGAATGTTGCTGTCTTCACCGACTCCGACAGCCCAGTCGCTGCCTTTGTGGCCGTCCGCAACCGCATCCTTTTGGTCAGCCCCGAGCTGCGCCTGCTCTCCGTCCTTATCACCGGCCCAGTGGGCAGTGCCAAGTGTGAGATCTGTCGCCTGTGCCCGGCTACCACAGATGGCCCTGAGGACACAGACAATGTCCTGTTGCTGCTGGACCCACTGGAGCCATGGCTGTACAGCTGTGGCACGGCCCAGCATGGGCTGTGCTATCAGCACCAGCTGGAGGTGCAGGATGGTAAGGTGGCCATCACAGCCACACACTGCCTGTACTCGGCCATGGACAACAGCCCTGCCTTCTGCCCTGACTGTGTGGTCAGCCCACTGGGGACCAGTGCCACTGTGGTGGCCACCTCCTACGCCTCTGTCTTCTACCTCGGCTCCACCATCAACAGCAGTGTGGCAGCATGGTACAGCCCACAGTCGGTGTCCATCCGACGCCTGAAGGGCACCTTGGATGGCTTTTCAAATGACTTCCAGTGGCTGACGGTGCTGCCACAATACCGCAACAACTACACCATCCACTATGTGCACTCCTTTGCCGACGGGGACCACGTCTACTTCCTGATGGTGCAGCCGGAACGGCCGGGATCAACAGTGTACCACACGCGCCTGGCGCGGCTCAGCACCCACGAGCGGGACCTCCGCCACTACCGCGAGCTGGTCCTCGACTGCCGCTTTGAGTCCAAGCGCCGGCGCCGGCGCAGTGGCGAGGAGGATGCTGAGAGGGACATCGCCTACAATGTGCTGCAGGCAGCCCACGCTGCCCGCCCTGGTGCACGCCTGGCCCGCGACCTCGGCATCAACAACACTGACACGGTGCTCTTCGGTGCCTTTGCCGAGAGCCGGCCGGAGAGCCGAGTGCCGCAGGAGAACTCGGCTGTCTGCGCCTTCCCCCTCCGCCTCCTCAATCAGGCCATGGAGGAGGGCATGAAGAAGTGCTGCGGCACCGGGCACCAGCCACTGCTGCGGGGGCTCAGTTTCTTCCAGCCGGTGGAGTACTGCCCACACAATGTGAGTGCTCCACCCTGCGCCGCATCCGGCCCGGGGACCCAGGGGGGTGGCTGGGATGTGGGAAAGGGGGTTCAGGAGCTGGGAAACACTGGTATAGCGGGATGGATGGTGGGGTGGGGCAGGGCAGGGCAGGGGGAGAGCGGCATCACCCAGGTGTGAGTCAGCCCAGCAGCCACCCACCACCTACTGCAGGGGCTGCTGTGTTCTGGCAGCCCCAGCTGCACCAAGGAGGCTGGGTGAGGGCAGGGATCCTGTTGAGCCCCCCACCTCACTGGTACATGTGCCAGCACATGGGCACACTGCCACATGTCATGCATTGAGCCAGTTCTTCTGGTATGCCTCCTCGACAGCCTCAGCTCTGGCCCCCGTGGTGACTGTCCCTGGACCCCAGCCACCCTCTCCAGCTCATTTATGTGGGGGGGAGGCAGGAAAGCCACAGGGCCTTGGTGCTTTGTAGGCTGGATGTGTGCAGTGCGAGCTGCTCCTGCCTTGTCCCCCAGGCCCAGCCACCGCCTTCTCTGGGCAAATAAACCGCAGGCGGAAGTGCAATTAGTCACCGGGGTTCCTCGTCTGCCACAGCCGTGGGGCAGGAACACCGTGTCCCAGGTGCAAGCCCCAGCATGGTCAGGATGCAGATGGGTGGGCACCCTGGCAGGGCCCCCTCATCCCAGCACATGAAACGAGCTTTGGTGTCCTCAGCCAGGCTCAGGGCAAAGTGCAGCCAAATCCCCTCCTCTTCCTGCACAGAGCAGACAACTCACTGCTGCTGACTCACACCGTGGCAGGAGAAAGTCAGAGGGGACCCCAGCCCCTCTTCATTGGGGGCGTCAAGTGAGGACGCCATGGCTCCTGGTGTCCCTCTTCAACCCCAGCCCCTTGCTGAGCTCCAGGCATCAGGAAAGACTGGGGTTGGAGTGAGCATCTTGTGGTGCCAGCACAAATAACTATATCCAGATGGGGT